GAGCTAGCATTGTTGCCCTAGCACATCTCAGTGGTCCTCATGCATGATAGAATGTTACTCGATCTTCTCATTCTACTAAACATGATCAGGTTGCACTACTGCTCACTCTTTAAACTACGCCATCAGTTTAACAAGCTACATATGTACCGAACACAGTCCGCTAGAACGATTCATTCCCACCACAAGCAGCCACTCCTTCATGGCGGCCTTCTCCTTTGGTTGGCACCGTTACCGGTTCACTGCATAGTTATATCCGTCAAGAACCAACTGCCGGTGCTGCAGCTGTAATACCAAGACTCTCTCTAGAAAACAAGACGCCAAGCAGAAGCAGAAGCAAAAGAGGAGGACTGCCATGTGATAATGTGCATTGTTTGCATGGATCGCATGGAGGAAGGCCAAGCGGTGAGAGCGCCATGCAATTGTTTGCATGCTTTGTTTGTCGATTATTCCAGTAACAGAGATTCTTACTTAATATGTGGCCCTTCATTTTAGCCCTTAAGTTTATACCTTAAAATGGACAAATTCTAGTGTAGGGAAACCGAACCACCGGTTCCCTACGACACTCACTTAAAAAAACACCCATGGCTCACCTAACTCTGGTTTTTTTTTATGTTCACCCGATTCCATGTGCCCTACCCCTCTCACAATACTCATAGCTCAACACCAACGGTGATCTCATACAAGAACCTCTTCTTAAAATGATAACGTATTATTCTTATTTTTCATGACACATCAGGCCTTTATTGACGCACACAAGCAATAAAAATCAATTAATACTAAATCAATTAGATATAAAATTCCCAGAGAATTGTTTATTTCATGGCTGAACAACTGGTATCATTCTTATTCATTAATCCATCCTTTCATAAATGAATAAACATGCCCAATGACCAATGCTCTCAAGAAACTTTGAGCCGTCTAAATCTTTTTCCTTTGTTAAATTTGTAAAATGGTTTCTTGAAGGAACAAAGGCACAGATAAAAACTTAGAATGAGATTTAAGAAAATATATGAAATATTTGAAGTTAACGGAAGATTTGGCGCAGAGTTAAGAGCAGTAACATTCTAGTATTCATTAAACCGATCATACTTAGTGAAATAAAATTTGATTGTTGTTGTTGTCTGTTTTCTTGGAGGCCTATTGTTTCATCTTAGTTGATATGCTCAAATTCCCACCTCTTATTTTTTCCCCAACAAACACCAACACAACCCTTTTCCTCATTTCGTCTTGACTCTTCTCCATCTTCGGTGTTGACTCAGTTCGAAGAGAAGAATGGAGCTGATCACCAAAATTTCATCGCCCCTTCGCCCACAACAAATACCTCCAATTGTCATTTGTTATCATCATCTTCGCAATTGTTGACATGTCGCCGCAAGAAGTAGTCAGCAACAACCTCCAAACGCTACCCGATCTCCTCCTGACGGGGCTCTCCATCTGCTTCCTCCTCTCCAAAACCCCATTTCTCCATCTTCCTTCCCACCCTCGGCGCCTATTCAAAATCCCCACCATGTCCCTCCGCCAGCAGCAGCAGCGCTTCCCCACCCCACAGTCCCTCTCCGAGTGGCTCAAGCCTCGATTGCTCTCCGATTCTCTGGCCTCTTGGGGGGTCAAACCCGGGACCAAGAACGTCCACAACCTCTGGCTCGAGCTCTCCCAAGGCGAAAGCTCTTTAGCCATTCATCCCCTCCGGTTCGAACGGTTCAGGTTGTGACGGTACGGATCATCGACAATAAATCCTGGATTTTGGTGGAATCCCACCAAGAATTATCGGATGGCAGCGTCAGGAGCCGAGGCCGGCCATTGTCAGAGAAAATGAAGCCGGGAGAGGACCACGAATCGGCGGCGAACCGGGCGGTTATGGAAGAGCTCGGTTCAATATTGAATTCGGAAAGCAGCGGAATTGTGAAGATTGTTCCAGGTTCTTATGAGAAGAGGGTGGAGGAGCGGCATTCGATGTCGTACCCGGGGTTGCCGGCGTGTTATGTGCTGCACTCGGTGGATGCTTGGGTGGAGGGCTTGCCGGAAGGTGAGTTTTGCACCGAGGAGGAGCACGAGTATTCGGATGGCGGTGCGATGAGCATTGCTCACGAGGCTGTGTACGTCAAGAAGCATTTTTGGAAATGGGTTAGTCTTGATTCCCTAAATTGTTGATTAGTTAGTGATCAAGTGATGAACTTTTTTGTTTCTTTTGATATAAGGAAATTGTCTCTTTACAAATTAACAACGTAGTTCTTGTTAATACTGTAAAATACTTGAAATTTACACGATACTGTACTGTAACACGTTGTTTTGAGGCTTTCAGCTGCTATATAGTGCATACTGCATAATTGATGTCTTTGTTCGGTTCATTGCGAACTGATTGATGCAGTTTTCGGGTGAATGTCACGAAATTCGTCAATGTTTGAGACTGTGATTGTGATAACTTTTCCTTTAGTTATATATTTGCATGATTTCTTTGCAGTTTTCAGTTTTGTCAAACTCCTGTATTCACTTGGTAGTTGATCATTCACTCACACAAGTCACATATGAACGAAATGAACCGAGCTAGTAACCAACTTAAGGAAGAAAAGAGGCGGAGTCTGTTCGGGCATATGCAGAGTAGGGCTTCAACCCAAACTAATAGATAGATTTATCAAACGTACACCCCCAGCTATAACCCCTTTGAGGTCAATCAGGGCTGAGAGAGCCCTCACCGTAGTAGCCTCGGGTTGGAAAGTGCTCTGTATGGGAGAGCAGGGAGTGACCAATAATGGTTGTTTGGGAAGCAGTTAACATCGCCGCAATATACTGTACCAATGATTTTGATCATTTGACGATGTACAAATGAATGCTTGACCTAGGCAGGTGTTACTTGCGACTTGCAAGCGCCTGTAAGAGCAAGTCCAGCGTTTGTAGTAGCTCGGTGGACCGGCTACTTTTTCTATCCAATTGTCCTAGCTCCTTGCACCAACTCATGCGGGCAATTGGGCTGAGGGGGGGGGGGCCAAGCGAGAGGGCGGGCTCAAATCGCAGGCCCAAGTGCCTTGAGCAAGTTGATGCAAGGCTGACGTCAGGATAACGTCAGCCATATTATAAAATTAATAAAAAAGTAAAATATTAAAAAAATGTAAAAAAGTAATTTTTTTGTAAATGTAAAAAATTAATAAAAAAATGTAAAGAATTAATAAAAATCCGAAAAAAAATTAAAAAATTAAAAAAAAAAGATTTAATTTTTCTATAAATATATTAACATTATCTTCCACCTTACACTACAATTTTATATTTTCTCAAATTCTTTAGGTTGTAATTTCTTATTTAATGAAATGTGGTACAACGAGACCGATTAAAAATCATATCCGAAATTTGAAATAAAATTATTTTTTATTATTTTATAAAATAAAAAATACTAATATTTTATTGCATATTGCCATAGTTATTCAGTTTAGGGGTGGAGATGCAAAAGACAATTACTGTTTATTAAAGGTAGTTATTGTTCACTGGAGGGGATTCAATAGACAGTTGCCCTGGAGGCCTTTCCTACACTGGAGCTGCTCTAAGGGAGAGGGCTTCTCGCCCGACCCAAATAATCATATATAGTATACTACCTTTCTTAGCCTGAACTCTAAGCACAATAAAGTAGCCTCAATCCAACACTATAACTAACACTAATACTTGTTGACCTCCCTTAAACTACCGGAACACAAGTAGGTTTCTCCACCCGGCTATGTATAGAGTATGCATAGATTTGGTTCAAATAGTGTTGCTGCGTTAATTTGGCCATTGTTTACAAATGCTAATATGTGCCTGTAAAGTGGTGAAATTGCTATAGCCGGAGACAGAGGTGCAGTGAAGGTTAATAGTATACAGTGAGAAGTAGTTCAGTAGTTCCTGTTTATGTCTTCGCTTGGTTGGTTAAAGCTTGGTTGGTGTTGTTGTTGTACAGAATTTACTCGATTGATGTTGAAATGCAAGTTTTTTTTTTTTTTTTTAATCAGGTTGGAGACGCAAGCTATCTTTCGTATCGTTAAAAAAGTACTTTTACTTTTGATATTTCTTTTGAGGACGCACTGAAAGTTGAAGCGTTTGTGTGTTGCAAGATACGCCAAGAGACGGCCGTGCTTAAGTGCTAAACACTCTAATTGCTATAATCTAATGGCTTTTCGCAACTGCGCACGGGAGAAATCTTGCGTTGTAGTTGCCGGATCTGAATGTTAACAGGCTACGATCTCGCAAGATTTGTCCTGCACGGGAGAATTTTTGATAGATTACCGCTTTCAGCTGCCATTGGATTGGAGTCTCGGGGGTTGTGTTATTCACTCCCTTTACCTTCTACACAATTCATGTTGATTTCTGTTTTTTGTTCTTCTTTAAATCATTTAATCCAACGGTCGAAAGTTATTCAAAGATAACAAAAGGTGCGCGGTTTGCAACACACTTTCGCCAATTGACGGAACTAAAAAGTTTGACATAAAGTTAATGAAACTGAAGGTGGTAAAAGGTGAAAAGCATCTTTACCAGAAAGGCTGTAAAGGCAAACCATATTTGGTCATATTTTCTTCCATAATAGGTTGTAGTTTCAAAGTGGTCAATTAGTCGACTAACTGCAGTTTAAAAGCATTTTGATATCTTAAATGGTAAAGTTTAATGTGTAGAACTCTGCAGAAAGTATTCGAAGTACAACTTCTTAATTTTTCGATACAAGCGTTAGAGTTATTTTAGTCAGACATCTTTATCAGATATTTTTCGTTTATTCTTTTTCACCGGAATTAGGACATTCTGATGTATGTTCAATTGACAAATTCATTTCCATTGTTGGGTTGGTAGAATTATGCCCAACGATTCTGCTGCGACGTTGCTTCCATGCGTTACAAGTCCACATGATTATTAAAGGTTAAGGGTTGCTGCGGGATTAAGAAAACAATGAATTTTCCCTCCTTTTTGTTTCTCCTTTTCTTTCTTGTTGGCATTTTAGCTATCAACTAGAAAACATTGCCCGCACGTTGCTGCGGGATTAAGAATCATATGAAAAATTATGTTTCCAAGGTATAAAAGACTGTTACTAAAGATTAAATATAGGAAAAGATATTATTTAGTAGGGTGCAACCTTTTTTTGCCACTGATAAAAAGAGGTCTTATGATTTTTTTTTTCTTTTTTGTGAGACATTGTAGTTGCCTCATTATCGGTCTCATCTTCAAGAAAGAAGGTTACATTGTACCTGTGTTTAAATGTAATTTAGAATGTTAAATATCAAATAAAGTAAAAATAACTTGCAATTTGCATAAAAGACTTCAAATTATCCATAAAAAAAGAGTAAAACTTCCTGTGATTTGGCCTCCACATAAAAGAAAGATTAATGAAGGATTTGTACAGTCAAACTCACAATTTAATAACAAAAGTTAAGTAATAAATATAATATGTCAACTTATTCATCACTTGACAAATGATGTAAACATTGATAATTGATTTTATCACTGAAAAAATAATTTAAGAACCAAGTTAAAACCCATAGGCTTATTCCATGCATTTTGAAGGGGACCTAGTTTCCTTTTTAATTTTACTTGGAATAAATAACACTTTACATTTCATCTACAACCTAAAACAACAAAACAATGTAGGAAATGGTATAAAACAAACATTAAAATACACAAGGTAAGGCCCAAACCTATGACTGAGGATATTTGATTGCTAAATGATTAGAGCTTGAACTGGTTCTAAGCAACTTCTACCCTTCATACTCATCAAATGATCTGTACTTGCAGCAACAATAAAAAAATCCATAAAAATCACTTAAAAATGTCTGCCAAATACCAAAAAAAATTCAAATTTTCTCAAGATTTAGCCTAACCATTTTGCTAATTCCCATCAAAAACATTTTTACTGCATTTGACACCAGTGGACTAAGTTCCTCATTTGTAAGCAAAACCAATTCTTTTTTTACACTGTAAATATCATCAAGTTTAATCTTTTTATCTCCTTTTATTCCTACCAACTACAACCTCTTTTTATCTCCTTTTATTCCTACCAACTGCGACCTCTCTCCCAAATTACACACTTTCTAATATCATTTTCTCACCAATTATTACAACAAAATTTCAAACTTGTTTTCTTTTCTTCTCAATATTTACATGGGAAATAATTTGAAATGGTGGAGCTTTTGACTCAATCTCATGGACATTACAACAGAACATCCAATCTCAAGATGGAATAAGATTAATCAGGCGGGAATTATAATGGAAGACCTTTTTAACACCACTTGGTCAGCACCTTCAGCAACTTAAACAGTTTGGCTCTTAAATAAGCAGGCGTGTTTGTTCCTCATAAACGAAAAGGTCAGAACGACATGTGCTTTAAACACAATATTCATCCCCAAATTGAAAACCACCAATCCAAAAAAATAAATTAGATGCACTGACAAAGCTAAAAAATATGGCCAATATCAAACTCACCTTGATGCCCTGTGGATCAGCAACCATGGTCGGAGAAGAAGAGAGAATGAAGCTGCTCTAAAGGTCACCGAGTATCAGGTTCTAAGTGGGAGGTGAAATAAAAAAAAAAGAAATTTCAATTCATTTATAGATCCAAAATCACAAAACCCCATATTTGAACAAAACAAAACCCCCAAGATGTAAGACTTGAAAAACTTACCAGAAAACCCTAGCTTTTCTGGGCAAAAAATTCCTTCAAATCAATCTGAAATACTGAAGAAGCTTACCTGAGTTCAATAAAGATCAAAATTTAAGCAACTTTCTCACCTGGAAATGTTGGATTAGATGAGCCCAGAAATTCCAATCGAAACCAAATTGGTACAAATTTCTGAAACCAAAAACCAAACCACATCAGATATTCTAAAAAACCATCTAAGAAAACGTAGAAAATTGAAACCTAGTTCGGTGAGAAACATACAACACTTACTTGCAAACAGTGATCAAATCAGCCAAAAAATAATTCCAATCGAACCAAAAAAAGGCCGAAATTAACAATTCTGATAAGTAATCGAAGAACAACAAAATCAACGAAGCAGCACAACGACAGAAAATAAAATCCCAGGCGAATAGAAATAGGCGGCGACAAACGAACTAACTCGAGGTATGCAAGAGAGGAAAACGGAAAGAAATATCGAACAACGAATAAGGGATGAAGACACGTAGAACCATAAGGCAAAAGGTCTTGTTACGAAAAGGCAACCAAATGCGAAAAATTTGAGGGGTTTTGTCATTTTTGCTTAGACATCCGGGAGTTTGGCTTTAGCTATAAAATATCACTACTCTTTTATGTCCTTTTACCCCTCAATCTCTTTCCTTTTCTCCTCCCCACAAAACTACCACCAAAACCCACTATTGAAAAAGAATCTATGAGAACATGATCTTCATTTTCTATGTTTTCTACCCGCATCACTTTTCGAGCATATTCATCGTTACAGTCGAGGTTCTGTTTTTGAGTTCATTCTCACTCAGTATTGCTTGTATTGTAAAGAAAATAAAAAGAAGATAAGATCAATGGTACAATTGAGCAAGCTTATCATTCTCACTCATATATGATCATTACTTCCAGTCCTATATATCAATCATATGATTGGCTCAAATTTACAAGCACTTAAGTGCAGAACAAAAGATCAACAAACATGACCAAGCAAATATTCAAGAACCAAACAACAAACATATAGTAGTACGAAGTAGTCTTTGTAGTCCAAGGAAGAACTTCTCTATGCCACTACGGCGTTATCCCAAGCATGATGTAGGTAAGTTTCTCTCGCAATTCAGACGTTGGTAGAACACTGAGTCCCCTGCCTTGTAGTGAGAGGACCAGTTGGAACAGAAGGACCAAAAGCCATGACAGCAAGACAATCTACGTTGACCCTATACTTACCGGAAACCCAAGCTCCGACCTTCCATCGAAGCCGTCCGAACACTTTGAGATTCAAAACCAGTCTACCAGCCGTTTGATCACGTCCCATTTCATAACCGAAAGAGGGACCCACTGGCAGACCGATTCCCACCAAAGAAGCTGTCAAGATGTTACTGTCTTCATGTCCTTGGTAAAACGGAGGAAGAGAAGTGTAGACAGTGATTTGCTGGCCCTTGTATGCAGCATAGACTTGAAGCTCGTCGTAGTAAATCCCGACTTTCTGATTAGGGTTTTTTGAAAGTAGGGTGAGTTGGACGGAGGAGTTGAGAAGGTAGCTGCTGGAGAGGTTGAGCTGGTAGATATCGGCTTCCTTGAGGGAGAACTCGGGTTTCGTGGGGCGGAGGATAAGCCAAACGACTAGTATTATGGAGAGAATTGTGGTGGCAAATGTAGAGAATAGTAATAAAAGATTCTTGTAGAGCTTGCAAATGTTAAGTCCGTGTTTGTTGCCACAGTGTTTAGGAGATTTTGTGAGGGCTGGAGACATTTGGAGCTACAAATATTTAGAGAGAGAGAGTTAGAGGGAGAGAGAAAGAGAGAAAGAGAGAGTTAGAGAGAGAGAAAGAGAGAGAGAGAGAGAGAGAGAGAGGAGGTTTCCAGGGTTAAGTAAGAGGGGAGGGAGGTGACGGGGTTAATAAAGGGAGCAAAAAGTAGCAATAATTTAGGGCTTGAGACATTTGGAGCTACAAATATTTAGAGAGAGAGAGTTAGAGGGGGGGAGAGAGAAAGAGAGAAGAGAGAGAGAAAGAGAGAGTTAGAGAGAGAGAGAGGAGGTTTCCAGGGTTAAGCAAGAGGGGAGGGATGTGACGGGGTTAATAAAGGGCGCAAAAAGTAGCAATAATTTTGCTCTCTCTGGGACTTTTGACTGGCAGCTTCCTCATATTGTGGTGGGAAGGGGCTGTAAGTTATGTATTTGCTTGTAAACTTCTACGCTTCTACTTTAAAAAGGTGATTGAAAAAATCTTATACTATACGACCGTGAATCTGTACTATTGTCAGGTAGTAGCATGTATTCGAATATATATACCTATATATATGTGTGTGTGTGTGTGTGACATTAGATCAATTGATAGTCAGCAACATAACATACTTAAGTATCCAAAAACAAAGAGAAAATATTACATGTTTATGTAAAATCATGCACATATATCAACAGTTGGATCATTGTACACCTGTTGATCGATGTTGAATGGTTGATCATGCTTCGTGGTTGATGTGCCTTGCTGTGGATCGACGCAGCACATCAGATAGGGTACTTTTGGGATGATTCACGAATGGGATGGACCGTGAGGTGAAGAGCTTAGCCTTTTCCTAAAAGCAAATTGCATTTCTATATATATGTCTATTTACTAACTTGCAAATGCAAAAGTTTGCATGAAGGAAATAGTAGTGCTGCTTGAAAACGACATGAAAACATAGGAAATTGTGCTGGTTCAAGTAAACCCCTTTGCGGCTTAAGAGTCCTAAACAACTTACGACTTAGGGTTAGGGTGGAAAAGTTCTTGTTAATTTGGAAAATAGAGTAATCAAACCAATAGACCATCCATCATCTGTCTTGATTAATCATGAATATTCTAGGTTGTTCATATTATTGTCAATATCCATGCACGTAACATTGATGTGTAAACGAAGGTTAGGTCAATTGACTTACACGGATGTTGTCTTCTTGTTGAGAAAAAGAAATATATATATGTATATATATATATATATATATATATGCGGGAATATACATCATTGAGTAGGTCTCAAGATATGCATGGTGATTCATGAATGTGCATGTGTGCCATGCAACAAAGTTTCAAAAGTTGAAATTATGGACGCTTCTTATACCTTTTTATGCTTTACCAAGAAATATAATGTAAAAATATATATAGGGTACCATGATGATGATGATCAAAATTCAAAAGCAGACAGATGATACTGGGGATATCTCTGTCGATCAATCTTAGCCAGAATCAGAGATTGGGAAGCACTTTTGGAATAATTGAGAGGAAAGTGAAGGCTTTTAAAAGAGCAATAAGATATAGCCTGTCTTATTGATTGAATGCGAGTGAGAAGAAAATGGTGCAATATAGCCTAGTGGCAGCCCTCCCACACCTCTCCTCAGCTTTGTCCTCCCTTGTTCTAGTAAATGGAAGATTAATCATTAAAACTTTGAGATTAGGGATTAAGATATGATTAATTGACAGCGAAAATCTTGCTTAACTAGGGTCTAAAGTCTAAACACAATCAGAGAGAGGGAGTTTTCAAATATATTCACCGGAAAGAGTTCATAAGGAGAGAAGACATGGAGAATCTATAAACAGGCTTTTTGGAAGCCACTGGGAGACATCACCAATCATTCATGTTCTTGGGTTTATTATGTCTTTTTATGCAGGTGTTGTTTTTAGTTAAGAAAATGCCACAAGACTGTTAGTTGATGAGCCCCAGCATATTTTTTTATTCGAAAGATATTCTAATCACGTCTAAATTATTAGGAGATGATTCAAACTTGAGCGTCATGGAAAGCACACTATTCTGGTCAACTTGACTATACATATGTCTACGATATCAAAGTGAAACTCAACCTAAACTAAGGCTTGGCTTTGTTTTGTATTATGATTTGGTTCATTATTAGGAGGGACCCTCTTGTTAAGAATCTTGAAGAGAATATTATACAGTTGATGTTCAATTGTTTGAAAGCTGGGAGGTACTTTGTTTTTTGGTTTATTGGAACTTTTCACTTGAGTGATTTCTCATCCACTCATCTGACTAGTCTTTTTTCCTCTTAAATTTTGCTTATTTCTTCCATCTGGGTCCGAAAAAGAAAGTTCCTTTATGACTTTGATTATAATAGGGAAAAAGGAAAAAAAAAAGATTTAGGGTTTTTATATTTCACTGATTGTTTAGAGATAAACATGTTCTTCTGGGGGCGTATGATAGTAGCCCTCTGGTTCCACCACCATCATATTCAGCCAATCCAGGCTAATAGAGTGTGTTGAGTCATTGATGAACTGGAGGACGAAGAGAAACTTCGGTAGGTGTGTCACTAATGAAGAAGTTGCCATGTCGATACAAACACAGACATGGAGAGGGGGGGGGAGGGGGTGTGGTTGTTGTAAGAGAAAATGAAAGACCCATCTTTTCCTAAAATTTACTTATACCTGAGATGTCACCGTATACATAAAAAAAATTAAATACACGACAATGTGGATTGATTTGAGATACTGTCGCAATGACATACTGAGTTTTTCGCTGGTTTAGTTGGGCCTAGAATGATTGCATTGGGAAGATAACCATATGATATTCCTGCAAATTGGTGGTGGCGAAGACCATATGTTCATTTGCATCCGTATCTTTCTATCCCAACATCTGCAAATATATCCCATGCATTATTTCAACTAATGCACTGCACAACTTAAGCACGGCATGCATTAGTGATGCTATGAATTATTGACAAAGCCATATTTTCGTACTAGAAAAAGATGTAACGTGCCTTTGAGTTGAGTTGCCTATAAACCAAGACTTGTTTCCAAGTTGGGAAATTACCTACCACAATTAGTGGGGAAAGAGAGAAGGCAATCATCAATTTGTGGACACTGACGACTTTGACAAGGCCTTTTGTTTTTGGACAGCATGCAAGTAATCGTAGGCTGTATCCAAGACGACGACGTATCTATCTATATCCATAGGTTGGTAGAAAATGATGTTTATGAATTCAAGCTGCAGTGGACTGGAGCACTCAGTTTTTGCTCACCACATTCAGAATTGAAATGTACAAAAACAACTAATGCTTATTTGTTTACGGAATGAGCAGGTATAGAAAGTAGCCAGCATGACGTAATTCACGTGTGGCAACATTTTAAGCCTAACATATGGATGACCATGTTTGATGTTGTGAAAGAAGTTAAAGTTCAACCAAAAAACTAATCAGTAATAGGTAAGTAGCTCAACTCTTATAACAGCTTGCAAGCTGATACATGTTTGAACCTGTTTTGATCTTGTAAAAGAAGTTGAAGTTTGACTCAAAAACTAATCAATAATAGGTAAGTAGCTCAACTCCTTATAACAGCTTACAAAGCTTTTAAACTTTCCGAC